ATACACCGGTGATCGCCGATCTTCACACGACAGAAGAAGCACAGCAAAACCTTCGATTGAGGAACTGTAGTGATACGGTAATGAGGCCACTTTTGGGCAAAATATAGCATGCCAACAAATACCCCTTTACAATGACATTTTAGTCAAACAATTAGACAAGACGTGCAGAGTCAGTGACGATAATCTGGAACACCAAAGTGAGTTTCGATTATTTTGTCAGTAAGCTTCGGTCAGACAATAAGTTCCCATCCTCAGCGATAAGCATGACACTTGCTTACGCCATAATCCGTTCAATATTGCTCAAATCATTTGTTTACCTTCGATGCAAATTCTGTTCGAGCTTAAGCGCAACAACGGAAAAAAATTTGACGGCTACGCTGTCTAGTGACTTAGTCTACCTCCAGCCTCATACAGCTGATCGACATTAAATACCATAATGCTTAAATTTACTACAGACCAAGAAAGGCAAAACTATTTCGTCCATCAGGCAGCGAGTGAAACACCAACAGTCGAATGTATCTCCCGCGATCTTCGTGATAACCTTGAGAATGTTTCCAAAATCTTAAAGTGACGGTGATCAAGGGTTCATTAAATGATCTAATTTTTGAAGGACACTGAAGAAAGTTGTTTTTTCGGCTGATCTGCTGATGGAAGATTAAATGGCACTGAATGCCTTCACAGATTATGGTTAATGAAATAGCCTTCAGATATTAGAAACTGTTCGTGTGCTGGAATGTGCCAAATGGCACAAAACTTATCCAACACGAGATTTCACTACGAATTGTATCTTCCCATACTCATAATTGCTCGGTTGAGTCATATTTAAGCAGGCAACGACCCAGTTATATTTCAGCATCTAATATATGCCGTAAAAATTTGGTATCAGAGGAGCTATGTGCCATTTAATTCATAGAAATATGGGTTAGCTGTGAAATAACACATAATTCGAAGAATACTCCGGGCTAAGAGTGTAACATGAGGCCACTGACTAGGTTGATTTGAAAATATTGCACAGTCTCATGTCAACGCTGTGGCATACCGAATACATGTAGTCATTAAGTAACCGTCTTACCAAACACAAAAAGCTGTCCCGATCGTGAACTCAGTCGAAAATGACATTTTCATCAATACAGCCTCTGAGTTATTCATTGTTATACGTGGTCATTGGTCAACAGCAAAGTTAGCCTACGCTGGTCTTCAATTTCTGGTTCTATTCATGAACAGTAATGTTGAAAATTCCACGTCGCCATCATGCCAACAGCACGAGAATCAAATGGTGGACGGGAGTGAAAAACCGAGTCGTCGAAAGCAGAAGTAAGGAGCTGCTGCGGGTCAGGCATGCAGTTCAGCTTATGGACGGGAGATGGCCGACGATGATCGTCGATTGGTATGTTTGCTTGTGCATGAATCACCAGGATCGGTCACCCATCACGATGGTGAGAAGGTTATATTAGGAGCAGAAATGGCGACGTTTGGAGGAAGAAGGCTCGAAACCTCAAGGAATGGTGGTCATGTTGTGTCGTCGATTACTAGCCGGTCCAAGTGACCCAAGTTACTGCGACGTACCAACTACTAAATTTTCTCTCGCTGGTTCGGTGTTAATTTTGATAATGATTTGATACGGTATTTCTTGGCGTGTTTTTGTAGCTGATGATCGTATCTGGGCTCTGTGGAGCCATAAAATGCGGCGAGAGGCGCCTATTCACCACAAGCATTGAAACGCCATACAACCATATCCTGCAATGGTGACTCTAGATATTTCAAAACAATGGATGGTGCGGTCGTAACACTGTTTAATGCGATTTTGTGGAGCATTAACTCACCATTCATGCCGCAAGAAAAGTGTTTAAGGAATACCTACCCCTGGAACACTGTTGAGAGCGAAGAGTCTATTGCTGTAGCCAGTGAAATGATTAGGAAAGTATCTGTTGAAGGCAAGCATTCAAATACAACGGAACAGTAGCCTACCTCAGCACCAGACAGACATGTGCTAGCGAGACCATGATATCAGAAACTCGGATTTGCCGATTCAGAAGCTTATCGGCACATTCTTGGTTTAAGAGCCCAATTCTGACGCATTATTTAAGCATACAATGGATAGCTGCACCTGTATTCGTTTATGTCGAGCAGAGAAATTTTTCTGCCCACATCATGATGCGAAATGTATCTATTCATGGCAACCATTAATGAAACGGAGAATTGGATCCATAGGCATTTAAAAGCAAGGAGGCGGCAGTGAAATACTCCGTGAAAGCCAGGTTTTGAGGAATTGTGATTTTAATATCTAAGTTATCACGTTGTAAGCTGCACTACGTCCTAATGGCGGCTTTGTTTAAATGGGCCTTTGGGTCTAAAATAAGTAAATCATCTATAAATCACGAATATAACCGTGGTAAGCCATGAAACTGGAAACCTCATAAACAGTTAATTTATGACTGCACAGTCTTCAAGTTGTTTTTAACTATTTGCTTTCTATAATTGCAGGTTTAGCGTCTCCGTCGAATTCACGGTTGAAATTTCAGGAGAATGTAAGGCCGGAAGGTGACATCAGGCCGAGAAGATCTTTCGTGAACTCTGAAAAGACTTGTTCATTTTCCGATGGTAATCAGTGAGTATACACCCTCTTATGCCTCTGGCAAAAATCTCTTAAGATTAGGGATTCTCTGAAATATCAAACTGGAACCAAGGGTTTGAGCCATCGTCCACATTAATTCTGGAAGAACTGCTACAAGGCGTTTTCATCAGGCCGCCCATCTAAACAGAGGAGCACCCACGGTCAGGAGATTCGCATGACTTTGAGTGACTGATATTAAGAACTGAAAAAAACTGCCTCTTTCATATTAGCTGGATAGTCAGGAGCTAGGAAGTTACAGAAACAAATTTCTTTCAAAATTAGACTATCGAATCTTCATTTTCCTAATTAGAGAATGACATTTATTAATATCAACGTTCCACGTTTGTTTCATTGTAATCTATCGAATGAGGTAATTTTATTTTCTGTCCAGCAAGTAAATGGCATGATGCGATGCTCCGCAACCTTCACAAAAAAATGAACATATGATGGTCCCTCTCACATCTTCTTTATAAAGGTGATTTACTTAATTGACATATTATTTCAATATCATCCTTTGAGTTCAGATTAGCGGATTAAATGCATTGTTGCATGTCTGCGCTGTTCTGTGTCGTTCTGTACGCCGTTGAGCTTTGCAGAAGACGCCGTTCGATACTACAATGCGATTCAGCTTCGATTCGCTGCAATGTACACAAAACTATCAGCCAGCGTCTAAGCAGGTAAACACGAGAGAAGAAGTGCGTCCCGTCCCAATGAGTCATATGCTCTAGGATACAATATCGGTTTTGATACGTAATTTGACACAAAGTTTAGTTATTAATTATATGATTGTATTTCTGTCTTCCTTAGTCCAAAACACAGCCGAGCGTCATAATTTACAGTGAATAAAAGCGCTTACGATTGAATAGTTATAACGGCCGCCGTAAAAGGGGAAATAGGTAAGCATGTCCACCATGCGACCGGTCTGCGACTCTCTGTCTTGAAGTAGGACATCTTTCGTTCCGGGACCGTACGGATAGAGGTTTTTGCGTCCTGAAAAAGACATAGGTCGCATAATATCGTCTGAAGATGGGTGAAATGACCATGCACCAGTGAACACCGTTCCATTCAATGAAATCTTTCAAATCACTTACTTAACAAGTAGCGGTTCTGCTGTTGTTCGATCCTCTGCGAGCCGCCACCGACTGGAGGAAAAAGTCCGGGAAAGCTGTTGTCCGCAAAGCTGCCTCCTCCATCGCCGCCAAAATTGGGCATCGAGTCTTGCGCCACGAGATGCTGTACGACGGACAAGAAGACCACAAGGGTGGCAAAGACAAACGCGGGTCTGAAAGCCATGAAAGCCATGGCAGGGGGGGCTGAGGAGCTGGCTGATTCCTGCTGTGCCTGCCGGTTCGCTTAATCCGAATAGAGCCACAGACGATGTCTCGAGCACCGGTGCGAAGCAACCGTGACGGTCGACCAATTACCGTCCAGCAGACACGCTTCGGTACGGCTGGCAAACAATTTAGCCACTCTCTCGTCGCCAAGCTATGCGCCACAACGTCGTGATTCAACACAACGTCGCAGTCACCGCCACCACGTAGATTGCTGTCGTCGCTCTTATTGGCCACCGTCTAGCCGAGCGGCACGATCATCGCCTGCTTAGTCAGGGTAAATCAACAAGGCTGTGTTGCGACGGCACCCACCTTTGGGTTTGTGAACAAAGTTTAAGTTTCGAGGCTTTTAGCGTTGTTTTGGTCAGGTTGTTCTGTTGCTCATCTGCCAACCGTTGAATACTCAACGGTGACTCTCTCGTTCACGTACCCTCATTACTCACTGTGCCTAATCACACACGACCGACTGAGCAAATCTTCTATTCAAACTTTGTCGGCTTTGGTGACGGTGACAACAGCTAGCTTTGAAGGTCCCAGGATTTCAATGACGACGCTCGCGCCAATCACCTCTTGACCACAAATAGTCACCATCGAATTCTCTTATGTGATCCCCTTTTGTACCGGACAACTCTTCTGTTCAAACTTTGTTGGCTTTGGTGACGGTGACAACAGCGTTTGGATTGTCATCTCCGTCCTATGTGGCTTTTGGCACAGCTACGAAAAGTTGCTGTAATTCAGTATGACGAAAACTCAGAGAACCAGAAGTACCACGTCTGGATTTCGTGCACTGAGGAGTTCGCAGTCGCTTCTTCCTCACTACTTACAAACAGCCAGCAAGAAGTGTCCTCAGTCCGTAAGTAAACACGGTCATCACGCCTCGAGGATCAGCGATGAGTAGCAGTCCAGAATCTTCATCACATAAGCACGACTCGTCGCATGCTCTTCTTTTCTTGACACGTGTTGGTAAGCAATACGATGCATGATCGTTTCTGTAAGACATAGAAGATTAGAGAACTAATCATTTCCAGCTAATAACTATAAATTTCGGATTGTTCATCAGGCATAAGATAAAAACGAGCACTCAGTTAGGGATAATATCCTAACTATCATAGTTCAAACTCGTAGCAGTTTTTTATCCATTCGTTTTCCATCACACGGCAAAGTTACATAATCCTTAAAATCACTATCAGGCATGTCCCGAGTGATTTGG